GTGCTCCCTGTCTGTGTGCTCCCTGTCTGTGTGCTGTCTATGTGCTCCCTGTCTGTGTGCTCCCTGTCTGTGTGCTCCCTGTATACGTGCTGTCTGTGTGCTCCCTGTCTGTGTGCTCCCTGTCTGTGTGCTCCCTGTATACGTGCTGTCTGCGTGCTCCCTGTCTGTGTGCTCCCTGTCTGTGTGCTGTCTGTGTGCTCCCTGTCTGTGTGCTGTCTGTATACGTGCTGTCTGCGTGCTCCCTGTCTGCGTGCTGCCTGTCTGCATGCTGTCTGGCATGTGCTCGGTACTTCCTGAGGTTCATTATCTGATTATATTGTTTATTTTTCTAAAACCATTTTATAGGTGACAAGTCCTATGCTTCTATTCACCAAAAGAATATCTTATTCTAATATTTTCTACCATTCTTTCTAACTTTATTTATTTTTGTTAATTTGTAGTTAAAAATAAACTCATTTTCACTTATTGGGTGGATAGGATCATGCCTCACACCTCCTGGGGTTTAAATCTCTGTCTGTCTGACCTGAAACAGACGGGCATCGTATCTAGGGTTTGCATAAGCTTTCTGGCTTGTGCCTCTTCCGATATGCTGTAGGTTCACTGGATTTTATGGAAAAACTGGCGATTTTTTAAATAGTTGGTTTATTGATTTTTGTTGTTTCGTTACATCGTACAACGTTAAAACTGTAAATAATTCTTTTTGGAAAATATCTCCTATCTGAAATATCTATTGCCGTCTATTAGCTTATGAAAACAAAGGTGAGCATCTGTCGTCACCTAGTGTCCGAATGAGAAAATGCATCTTCGGAACCAATGTACAAATGTACTGTTTCTAGACGGCGACAGTTTTTTGCAGCACATATTGTATGCGTACCTTGAACTTTGCAAGTTGATATTGAGCTAGCAGCTCGGTCTTTATACTGCATATATTTTTGATGATGCTGAAGTTGCGCAGCTCTCGCTGCGCCGTGCATGCCTCGGCCCTGCATCGGTGGACGTGCAGCAGCTCAAAGGCCTCCTTATTTAAACGCTGCGGAGATGCACGGCGTATCTGTCACCCCGGGGGCATCAGCTCCTTAATGAGAAAAAGCCCGAAATCGGAGCCCGATGGCTGGGAGTGTCATCGCCGTGTAACTTACTCAGCCTCCAGGGAGAATGTCAGAATAGGGTGTGCTTCGGGTTTCTGGGGAGACACAGCCACCGCGGGTAAAGACGGACACTTGACGTGACCTGAGCGGACACTGCTTACTCACACTCCATTTACTAGCTTTAGAGTTTAGTAAACTTTCCTTTCACTTGCACATTAACGCCTGAATATACGCACAAGTGCAAATGTGATGACATTGCGAAGAGTGCCGTATGTCGATCGCTTAACACCTGTGTGTTATGGTGATGCATTCTAACTTATTTTGTACTAAAAACTTACTTAAATTTATTTATTTGCTTTATTATCATTTTATCAGCTTTTTATGAATCTTTTTAAAACTCAGAATACTTTATATTCAGGTTTACACTGGTCAGTGTTCTGCTGTAGTGTTAAATGTGGGAGAACAAGCGTTTTGCTTGCTTAACATTTTCCAAGTGTTGAGTGAGTTTGATCCATCTGTATCACACATTGCAAGTCGTTCCATCCATTAATCAATATATTCGTCTTCCAGTCGCTTAGTACGGGGTTTTGGAAGCTGAAGCCTCTTTTACGCAGCATAGGGGGCAAATAAGAGAAGACCCTGGATGGGGTGCCAGTCCTTTACTGGTAGTACCTGAAGGAAATTGGGGAAAAGGCTTTCTACTGTGTTCATTCTCTGTAAAATTTTCTGTTACATTATTAGGTTGCCTAGCGTAGCCAGGTTTGATGTGAGTGTTCATGTTTATCAAAATTTACCGCATAGTGCAGGAGTTGCTGTAGCACCTGTAGATGCCCTCTGACTTGACGCGCAGCTTTTGGTGTGAAAGTTTCACACTGAGTGGTTCCCGTCGCAGTTCCACAGCTGATACACGGAGGGAACCTGGACTTCTTGGTGTTTGATTACCTCTCAGAGATCACCATGTCGCTTCTTACAGCTACCAAAGCAAAGGACCCCGTAAGTCAGACACATTCCATGACTGTCCTTGTTAAATTCTACTTTTTACAGGTCTTCATTATTTTGTAGTGGTTTTAACAGATAGTCCAATGTATTTTGATTTTCAAAGATTTACACCTGTTTTGCAACTTTGTAGCAATGAAAAATGTTTTGTCCCCGCGATATTAAGAGTAATTAATACAAAATGCAAAATGTCTATGACTGATTATGAGAATAATATAAATTAAATGAACAATAAAGTTCCCCCCCTCCCTGCGTTGCACATGAAAATGTTCTTACCATTCTGGTTAGAGTATTATACTTGATTTAAAATGGGAAGACAATTCAGCAGAGATAATCAATGTTTAGGGTGGTTTTTCATAAAGGATACGAAAGTCACATCTGACAGATGTCGCTGCTTGAAGGCTTGTATTTACTGTGGTGTCTGTATGTTCTCCTGCAGAACCTGGGGTTTGTCTCTGACTTTGTGCAAGTTTTATCACCATTCATCAAGGAGCTTCATAAAAGAGGTAACTACACTAATAGAAGAGACGAGAAAATTTTGCAATATTCCATTAAATGGTTCATTTACCTCTGAAACCCTTCCTCCTTTACTATCGAAGGCAGAGAAATTTCCTTTAAATCATCTGGCTTTGTTTTTCCATTAGTCATCACTAACTTAGAAAGATGCTATTTAAATTTCTGAAGAGGGTGGCTGCACGAGTGCCTGTTCGAAAGTGATGAAGTGTGCCTCGTCGCTGCAGGCATGCGCGTGGTCAGCAATGCAGGGGGGGTGAACCCGCTGGCCTGTGGAAGGGCCTTACAGGAGACTGTTCGGAAAGCTGGCCTGGACATGAAGGTTGCCGTGGTAACTGGGGATGACCTCATGGCCCAGGCAAGGTTAAAGGCTCATTAGCCAGAAGTGACAGATTAACTCGTTTGTTTGTAAATAACCCATGGCCGTGCTCATTTGGGGTGCTTGTGCTTAGTCCTGTCATTTAATTTTTTTCCAGAAAGACTTACTGACAGAAGTCAGGATGGCGGACAGCGGAACCACTCAACGTCTCCCTAAAGGCACCCACAGTATGAATGCATACCTGGGGTAAATATTTCCTGGGTCTCGACCAGGGAATGACATATTACGCTGATTTAATTTGATATATTTCTGACAGTTACTTCAAGGATCTCTCGGGGAAGCTTGTTTCATTGCCTTCATCAGCCGCTGTTTGCGATACTGACATTTGATAAACTAATTTGATTTGATTATTGTTCACGTTTCACCCTGCGAGTCCTAAACCTTCTTAATGACCATTTCATTGGTACGGTGTGGTGGTGCAGTGGTTAGCGCTGTCGCCTCACACCTCTGGGACCCGGGTTCGAGTCTCCACCAGCGTTCTCTGTGTGGAGTTCTCCCCATGTCAGCGTGGGGTATCCTCCGGGTACTCCAATTTCCCCCCAAAAACATGCTGTAGTTAATTGGAGTTATCAAATTGCCCATAGATGTACATGTGTGAGTGTGCCCTGCGATGGGTTGGCTCCCCATCCTGGGTTGTTCCCAGCCTTGTGTCCGTAACTTCTGGGATAGGCTCCGGACCCCCCACAACCCAGAATTTGAGAAGCGGTAAGATGGATGGATGTATCACTGTTCTTATTCTCTAACACCATGTTTGGTTTGTTGTTTTTCAACATCCTTTTTAACATGGGAATTCACAGTGTCACCTTCTGATTGGCCTGAGTGACGCTGTGTGACCGTCACCTGGGTCAATCAGACTTGTCCTGGCCGTGCCCCTCCCTCGCAGACCCTACTGAATGCCTGTCTTGCTTTTGCAGCGCGCAGCCCATCCGGAGGTGCCTGGACCTGGGGGCGGAGATAGTCGTCACGGGCCGCTGCGTGGACAGTGCTGTGGTCCTCGGGCCCCTCCTGCACACGGTACAGTCTGGGGTTAGCGTTCCGCTTAAGGTCAGACTCGGCAAACCTTTTGTTTTTGCAGCAGTCCAGCGCTCTAGGGGTCAATGGGTCCTGTAGCCAGATTTCAACCCCCATAGCTGATCGGCCTCTTCTGATACCACGGCGAGTTTGTGTGACAGAGCCTCTCCTCTTTTTCCCGGCAGTTTGGATGGGAGCAGTCAAACTACGATCTGCTGGCGGCCGGGAGGTAAGCTGAGGTGACTCCGTAACCATGGCGATGCCCGTTTGATGGGGTTTACCCGCCACGCCCCTTTGAGGAGGCCCCTCTGATTTACGCATTTCCCTCTCAGCCTTGCAGGGCACCTGGTGGAGTGCGGTGCCCAGAGTACGGGGGGCATTTTCACGGACTGGCACACGGTGCCTGACTGGTGAGCCCCCTTCCCTACCCTTCCCCTTCCCCCGCTTCAGTCAGCAGGAGATGTTCCGTTGGTCTGATGTACACGACCAGTCAAACGTTTTTGCACGTCACAGGTTTTTACCACTTCTCCATTTTTCATAAACTGCTGATTCTGTATTCTCGTTAAGCCCTAATTGGTGTCTCCCCAGGGATAACATGGGCTTCCCGGTGGCGGAGTGCCGTGCCGATGGTACCTTCGTGCTGTCCAAGCCCCCGCGCACCGGCGGGCTCGTCTCCTTCGGCACGGTCACGGAGCAGCTGCTGTATGAGATCGGCGACCCCACGCGCTACCTGCTGCCAGACGTCACCTGTGACTTCTCACGTGTCACCATCACCGAGATCCCAGGTCCCCCCACCCCCCCTAAGTCACCCCCAGCGATTCTGATCTGCCTGTCGACGATTTTGTGTTTTCGTTAACTTGTGATTGGTCATGGGTACTGCAGGAATCCGTAAAGAATGTGTGAGCAAAACTGTGGCTAAGAAGATAAACAAGACCCCTTACAGGAAGACAGGGCTGTATGCCCCCTTTGGTCACTTTTAGATATACTCACACAGTGAGGTTTGCTGGGGAAGATCTACTGTCTTTCTCTTGGATGACTGTAGGTGGTGCTCATGGCCACCCGGCTGGTAGCATTGCAGGTTAAGGACCTTAGGCCCAGTGATAGTCATTTCTTGGGCTCAGGGCCCTAACATGTGACAGGGCTGTCCCGGAATGGCCTGAAAACCCATCCTGAGCGTAAACTCGAGGGTCCTTCAGATCAGCTCTCCCTGACCTGGTCTCAGTGACCTTAGCTGTCAATGACCTGCATGTGATTTCAGTCAGCGCATGTTGACCGCTGTGTTTATGTTGCCAGTCCAGAGCGGCAATTAGTAGCAATTCGTCTAGGGAATAAGAGGGGAATCGACTTTCTGGGGTGGTTCAGTCTGTTCAGCACAGCATAGTTCATATTTACACCGCCAGGCTCTGACATTGTTATTTCCACAGTGGTGACTGTCAGTAACTATTTTATTTACCGTTGGCATGGCACTCCGCCATTGTTGTAACACCCAATCAACTTTTATCGCCACGTTTAACCCAAAGCCACAGCCGTGTTTGGCTGTTCGGTTGCGTGATAAGTGATCTTTGTCTTGTCAGCATTAACAGAGCAAAGAAGTGAAAGCAAATCTTTAAATGTTCTCAGCACTGAATTTGAAACCGAAGCTTTCTCCAGTGTCACCGGAGTTGTCATTTGAAGTGTGGAGGGATCCTGATGACGCAATTGTCGTCGCAGCAATTCTGCGTCGCATTGTTGACCTTTTTCTGTGTGTTTCGCAAGGTGTGGATGGCGGGGCTGTCAGGGTCGAGGGTGCAAAAGGAACACCCCCATCCAGTGATTACAAGGTGACCCCCCCCCCCCCCACGACAGGAAGTACTCAAGCACTTCAGTATAGGTGCAGACACACCTCACCCGTGCCTCCCTCCCCAGGTGTGCGCCACTTACATGGATGGGTTCCGGGCTACAGCTGTTTGTCCCGTTGGGGGCCCCCGAGCTGCGGAGAAAGCCAGAAGGACCGCGGAGAGCATCATTAAAAGGTCAGCCCGTCTGCTCACTCGTGATGTTTAATATGTATGCGGGATGGAAACAGTACAGCAAAGCTGTGGCATGTCAGTTGCTAAAATGAGTGTTACGTTGACCGTGTTGATACTTCATGATTGATTTTTCCTGTTGTAATTCATCAGGTTTTACTGACTTGTTCAGTGTTAGTCTCCAGTGTTAATCTCTGGTGTTAATCTCCGGTGTTAGCTCAGCTGTAGACTCCCCTCTCGCTTTGTGTGCTCAGGACACGGACCATGTTCAGGCAGCTCGGCTTCGCAGACTACACCTCTGTCAACATGCAGGTACTTGGTACCGAGGACACCTATGGCCCTCACGCCACCAACTGGAAGGTATGTTCTGCTGGCATATCACCACACATCCATCATCCAGCTGTGGGCAGCCTTTCAGTTAAGGTTCCAGGGAAGCAAGGGAGGAAAATGCAAATATTACTTGAGGTGAAAACTGGTGAATTAGCTACTAAATCCAAGGTACAGAACTCATTGTTGACTTATTCAGGATTTCTGCTAATTTTTGAACCCATAGAAGACGTCACAAGCAGAAAGTACTAATTTGCTGTAATTTCCAGGCTATTAAGTGCACCTAAATATAAACCACACCCACTTATTTTGAACATAAATACGCCACACGTCTATAAGCCGCAGGTGCCTACATTGAAACAAATTAACTTTACGCAGGCTTTAACGAAAGACAGTGCCTGTAACACGGCTTGTAACAAAACTGTAGCCTACCAAGAAAGTCATTGGTCATTGTCTTCCTCCTCCTGCGCACTGAAACCACTGAAGTCATCTCTTTCGGTGTCAGAGTTGAACAGCCTCAGAATTGCTTCATCCGATGTTTTGTCAGGATCGTTTTCATTGTCGCTCTCGTCATTTTCATCTGGAGGCCAATTCCCCGCTGAAACTTGAAAGCTGCATCATATGCATTTCTCTGTCTTTGCCATGATCAGGGCGTGTACATGACAAAATGACTACCTTAATCAGAATGATTCAGTGGGAGCGTGCTCGATTTAATGTAAAGAGTTTCATTGGTTCACCTTAACCTCTTCAGCAATTTCATTGGTCTAATGTTACGGGACTCCGTTTTTTGGCGACATGAAGCTTGTGAAACCGGGAAAAATCTGGGAAAAATCCATAAATTAGCCACTTCATTGTTTAAGCCACGAGGGAAAAAAGTAGTGGCTTATAGTCCGGAAATTACGGTAATAAAAAGTCATTTTAAAAAGGCATGAAATTTTACGGTGTTTATTTTGCTTTTACTAAATAAGATTTAGGTAGAGCAACGTGTAAGTGTGTGTTTGCCATAAACGGCGGTAGGAGCACCGCTTTTAGTCGCTGTGTTCCGTGCCCTGATCCGCCTGCTGGTATTCTCAGTTCTCCAGTTTGAATGTCATCTTCTATCCTATTTCAGTCAGATTGATTTAAATTATCACAATTTGGATTGAAGTGCCGTGATCTCTGTAAAAGGCGTCTGGCACGTTTTTTTTGTTTTGCTGCCCCTGTCTTCTGTCCAGCAGGGACCTCGGGAGGTTGTTCTGTGGATGGCCGTCCAGCATCAGCAGAAAAAGGCCCTAGAGCTGTTCTCCAGAGAAGTGGCTCCGGCGGGAACGGGAATGGGTAGGGAACCCGACTCTGTGAATCCTGAAAAGGGGAGGAGTCAAAATGGGGTCAGTGAATCGTGGATTGTTCCGATGTTTTCACTCGGAACATCGAGGTTATGACTGACTGTGGTCACGGCCTGTGAAGTCCTTCAGGCTGAGCGCCGTGTGACCTGAGCATCCTCTCCAGGCCACAAAAATAACGATGTAACATCAATAACCTTAATTAGCGTGTGTGCAATGGCAGCGGTAAAGCAGAAGGGGGCTGATTAGCTGAATGCAGGCGTTAAATCTGTCTTATTCTTTTTGGAAAATAAAAGTTGGATCTGCTAACCGAATTAAAAACGTCAGAGGCAGAATTTGGCCCCTGAGCTAGTACTGCTGTAGGAACTCTGCTTTAGGCCATCAGAAAAGAGAACATGTTTAAAAGATTGGTTCTTCTAAAAGAGTAAAGTAAAGAATTTCATTGGGACGAGTCCCTCTATGTTGACGGGGAGCCTTCGATGGTGGTCCCATAATACGTAAGCTTTCTTTAGTGCTGGAACACTGAGTTTTCTTCCTGATCCATCCGTTATGCTCATTTCTGGGTCCGGTAACCCGGCAAAGTGCAAAGGCGGTCCTTAACTGTCACAGATCATGGTTCCAGGCAACTTTTGATTAATTAGACCAGTGCGGCCAAAGATTGTTTGCAGCTGAATGTCCTTTGTAAGCTATTCTGGTGTGTTTTTAATTACTAGTATCTTACAATAGCCCAACCGCTGTTGGGTACAGTTTTATATTTTATTGGCGTCTTTGGCAACGTGCCTTTAAATTAGGGATTTTTATTATAAGGGGTAGAGACTGTTTTGGGTTGAACGTCAGAAAGAGGCCCTGTCTGCTTTGAAGGGTTTCGCCTGGATGATTCATATTCCTGGTCTCCGCTGGGTCAGTTCTTAGTAAGTAGTCTTTGCAGTTTTTGGGCTGAGTGGAGTGAATCACATCCTCATTTGCCGGAATTCTGCTACGCTGGACGTGTTTTGCCGGAATGCAACGGGTGTTTGGGTATGACACCAATGGTTTTCATTCTGGAAAATCTCCCCACAGCCCCTGGACTCACGGCGATAGTGGGGGGGCGGCCCAGAGTGTAAGTTCAACAGCTGTTACCGGCGCGCGGCTTTGTGCCTTAAAATTCAACAGCAGAAGTTCTGTTCAGTATGTGCTGATGCCCCTCTCCACTGCTTCAGCTCCCCAGTTCTGAGACCGTTCTTCATCCTCCACCCCAAGTCAGCGTTAAAGGTAACCAGTCTGTGATGTCAGCTGCCTGGGGGCTGTTTCGTTTTTTTGCACCCAAGCCAGTTTGTCGTCGTCTGCCTTCTGTTCCAGGTAGATATTTACCTGGATGGGGAATATGTGGGAGAGATGAAGCACGATGATGTTTCCCAGCAAGAAGTGTGTGATTCCCCTCCTGACACGGAGGAGACCGGGGACACACTCAGAGGTACGGCTTGGAGGTCAGAGGTCGGGTCGCAAACCTGCATTCACTTATTAGAGAAATCAGATTTGTCCTCCTACCATATAGAAGATTGGCTTAAATTATACATTCCCACAATGCCTCAGTGGAAAAAAAAATGAAAAAATGAGAATCTAACAACAAAACGACAGGTTGGTCATATTCCAGGGGACGCCTTCACTAGCTGTAATGCACCAGGTGGAGGAAGTGACATAGCATATTGGGAAAAATGAGAGTAACTGAGCTTACAGTCGATCTTGGGATAGACTGTCAGTCATTGGCTGTTTATGAATCCTCCTATAGCCAATCACTGCTGTGGGTGCATTCCCTCAAACGACATAGTGGCTTCTGAGACACTGATGCTCAAACTCTCATGCCATGAAATTTTTTCCGTCACAGGATGTCTATGGTATACCCGCACGTTACATTTACCAGCCTTCCTTCTATAATAAATAAGAAAATTACCAGGTATGCATAGAACAAGCAGGTATTGAAGATGGATGGATGGATGGATGGGGTGACATGGTGGTGCAGTGGTTAGCACTGTTGCCTTGCACCTCTAGGACCTGGGTTCGAGTTTCCGCCTGGGTTACATGTGTGTGCAGTTTGCATGTTCTCCCTGTGTCGTTCCTCCGGTTTCCCCGCCCAGTCCAAAGACATGCTGAGGCTATTTGTAGTTACTAAATTGCCCATACAGTAGGTGTGCATGTGTGAGTGAATGGTGTGTGAGTGAATGGTGTGTGAGTGTGCCCTGCGATGGGCTGGCCCTGCCTCGTGCCCAGTAGGATAAGTGGGTTGGACAATGGATGGATGGATTTCTAGATATTGTGATTATTTTGATAACAGGACACATGGCACTGGAATTTTGAAAGAACACATCCTTGATTTTTGCTTTTGTTGGACACTTTCACCTCAGACATTTACAGACCTGCTAGGTCCAACACACCTTCTGAGATATGGTTCTTCTCCCACAAGCATTCAAAACAAGCAAAACAAGTTCATTGTTTTTATGCAGCATGATTCTCAGCAGCTAATTTGATTTAACTTTAACTTTAATAGAAGAAGAGTGTTTTCTAGCTGTTTCACTTGATCTTAGCACTGTGTTAGTGGGTCTAGTCAGGATAGGAATCTTCGTCCTTCGTCGTACGTGAAGTTTGGTGGCACATTAAGCCAGCTGCCATCTTGAGATTTGAGCTAAATGCAGATGTTTTATGTGTCAGCAGCAGAGTGGATATACTGTAATTAAGCACTAAGACAGCATGGCTTTTTGGTGTTCATTTAGTGTGTACCCACACTAGACGATTCTTACTGCTCCCAAGCACGTTTGATCCCCAAAGTCCAGTTCGCTTGACTAGTGTGATCGTTACGTAGCGTGTCCTGGCCCACTGGAAGTGGTGGGATGGGGTCCAGTTCAACTGGACTTGGGCACGTACGCATAGTGTGATCACTGCGTAGTTGCACGGTGACGATGAAATCGTGCTCCCGCCCCGGATCGTTAGGCGTAATGTGAGCGCAGACCTGCGGGTGGAGTGAGGGGGGGGGGGGGGGGTGCAGTCGTGCTCGGGCACGGTACAGGGCAGCCATGCCAAGGGTGAGGCACCCTTAATACAGGGCGTGGGGACACTGTCAGGCTGGGACAGAGCAAGGAGTCAGATGCTTTTCCTGAGACTAAAAGCCAAGTTGGCATACCCAAGACACAAAGAAATACTACAGAAGATGCAACCAAAGCACACGAGCACTAAGTACCTCCCTCACGCTGGCCCTGCTGGCTGTTTCACCACAAGAATGTAACTTATCCAATCAGTGCCAGCTTGAATTCATTAACAAGGGCTTCCGTCGGCTGAGGGTTGATGGTCGCTCGCCATGGCAACACAAACTCGCTCGGCTCTCGCAATGAAAGCCTCTTTTATCCGCATCATTTGAAACGGCGGTGCTTAATTAAGTTTACATAGCGCAGAGCTCAGCTGTACAAGCTCGACTAAATCCTGTAAGTGAGGAAGCAGTCATGGAACAATCGGGATGTTGTGTTTGTAAGTGGTCTCCCACCTGGAAACTCCTAACGTTCAGTTGGCATTCCAGTGAAATTTATGAAGTTGATTTAACCAGTGGAAAGTGTACACCATAGCTAATATACACTTATTCTTCATTATTGCAAATGTGTAAAAGTTGGGGGTAAATGCTTGATCAGTCTGAAATTTAGCATATAGCATGTAACGTGTATTTTTCATGGTTTTGCATTGTCAGGGCATCCCCTGCTCTGCTTTGCTTAGGCTTACGTACCTCGTGTAGCCTTCGTGTAACGTAAGCCGAATAAAACACAGGAATCTCAAACAAGACTGTCTTTGTTCAGGATTGTGTCTCTAGAACAGGCACAGCTGAAAATAAACAGGTTTGAGCAAAGCACATGAAAGCTAATGGGGCTCCACTCAACAGGAAGTCAGTCCCTCAACCATTTCCTGCTACTTACTGGGAGGGGGGACATCTACCAGGGAATTTATCAGAAGAGCACCTTAATGACGATTAGGGGTCATGAGAAAATCTGCAAGCGAGAGTCGGAGACAGACGCCAACAACACAAACGGCTGGAGTCTCTCCATTTTACGAGTTTCCCTGAAACCCAGTCCTGTCCAGTCCTTCCAGCAGTGACATCACCACAAAACCAATTTTGTGGAAATGGAAATCAGAAGAGTGTTGCGAGGACCTCAGGATGCTATGAATGAATGCAGCAGGCTGGTATTAACAGAGCTCTCTGCCCCGATGTTAGACTTGCCAAGTGGACTGCACAGTTATAGAGTGGAGGAGCTGGCTTATACCCGGAGTGGAGACAAGGGCGACACGGCCAATATCGGTGAGTCTACCAGACCCTTAGTGACTGAGTTACTTTCAGGGGCCATGATTTTGCTGCGTTTGGCCCCTGATTTTGCCAGGTGGGACTTCCAGGCTGCTGCCCCTGATTTTGCCAGAGCCCTAAGCTATACCCTAGGATAAGCCTCTGTATTAGTTCACCCCTGATTGTCACCCCTGAGTGTAAATGCCCCCAGGTGTCATAGCGCGACACCCCCTCTACTATCCCGTAAGAGTGTGTCTCTGCGTGTAAATGCCCCCAGGTGTCATAGCGCGACACCCCCTCTACTATCCTTACCTGAAGAAGTTCCTGACGGCTGGTGTCGTCGAGCAGTACTTCCGGCACCTCATCAACCAGGATGGCGGCGCCCCCCCAGTCGTGCGGTAGGCAGTGGGTCGCTTATCGGGGGGGGGGGGGGTGGTGAGCGCTCTGTCTCCAGAGAGGGTGGGGCATAGTGACGGAGAATCTCCTGGTTCTTTCCCATTTCTGCTTGAATTTTTAATTGGTTACCATGACAGTTCCTGACATTGGAAATTCTATTTTAGCCAGTGAGATTCAAAACATATTTGTCATTAATTTCAGTCGGGAATTTGAGCTACTTAAAATTCCAGTTTCTTATACCAGGAATTCAGTTTTAACGAGCTGAAATGCCAGTTATGGATATCAGAAATTAAATTTTAGCTAGTTCAAAATCCAATTTCTGATATCATGTATACAGTTGTAACTACTTGTAATTCCTGATATCAGAAACTGGAATTTTAACTAGTAAATTCTACCTCCCATTGAAATGAAGGAGAAAAACATTTTGAATCTCACTGGTTAAAACAGTGGCTAATTTCCAGTGTCAGCAATTGGCATGACAGATGGTTAGAGGTGAAATTGTGCCTGTACTAGTACTTGCGCAAATGGCATGTAAAGCATCATTTCCTAAAGGACACTCGGTAAGATGTTAATCGCAGAGGTGGATAGTTCAGGTCCAGAAAACAAAAATCCAGACCGATTTTTTTTTCTCCAACCAACCAGCTGAGTACTCTGTGGCTGTGACTATTCATGCTCAACTAGCTCTACACCATGAGGAAATACCCTCCAGGAATGAATTAAAGCCAAAACGACTTACCATACGTTCTTGTTCGGCAAACGGCACATTACAAACACACGGCTGTGGAGGACTCGACTTGGCGTAAGTGCAGCTAGGCTGAGCTTCCACTGTAAGACCAGTAAGAGCTGTAAGCAGTACTGGAGCAGGAGCTACACAACAGAAACCCAAACTCCTGAATTCCTCCACTAACTTACCGCACATAAACAGACCTGGAAAACCAGCTACTAACAGACACCGACCAGAGGCAGGTCCCAAGCGATGCTGACTGCTATTGTAGCTGCCCAGCTGGCCGACCTAATGCCTTCCCAATGAGCACGTTCCACCAGGACCAGCAGGGCTGAAGCGATTGGCTGCAGACACAGTGCTGACTTCCACGCCCACGCAGATTACTGGGCTGCTGCCCTCTGTGCCCGCGGGGCTGCTGCCCTCTGTGCCCGCGGGGCTGCTGCCCTC